TGATGGAAGAAATGGAAGAAAATGGGGGTTGGAGGTTAAGTGTTTGATGAAAGGTTTGAGAGGGTACTCTAGGGTTTGGCTCACTCCATGGGTGATGAAGGCAACTTCTAGGGTTTTTCTCTCAAGGATGGAGATAGGAATGATGATGGCCGAATTTAGCCAAGGATGACTAAGGAAAATATAAAGGCACAAAAAGCTTTCTCTATATTAATTTCCAAAGTGATTACATGATGCAATACCTAGGGTATATATAGATTAGGGTGTGAGGTGGTGGGCACACATTTACGATGATGGCTAGGTCATAAAGTTTGCACATTTCCATGATAAATGTGATGGAAATGCAACAAAAATTCATGCCACATGCAACCCTAATGTAACGCCTACTTGGTGGCCAAGGATGGAATCTTTGGCTTGGTTATGCTACAACTAGGTGCATGATAAGACCATGCAACCTAGGTGCCCTGCTCTTGGGCCTATGCATTGTGATGAATCATTATTTTCCCTTATTTATTTATCTTTCTGTACTTATTTTAATTGTTGATTTGGGCTTAATCACTTATTAATTGTACAGTTCTACTATTTGGGCTTCATTGGGCCAGTAATTTGAATTCTAATTAATTTCGATTCACTTGGTCTAATTTTTATTTATCAATTATATTTAGGTTAATTGTGGAGCATTTTTGGGCTTGGATATTATTTTTGGACTTCAAGAGATAAATGCCACGTCAGCACCACTTCACCACATCAGCACCACAACATCATGTTTTATTTTATTTTTCATTTATTTCATTATAAATTCGGGTCAGACTTGGATTGGGGGCCCGTTTTGACTTTTCTAGGGTTTTTAGGACCTAGAGTAGGGACCATGCACCCATATCTGATGTGACCATGTTTTGGGGAGCTCCTTCCCTTCATTTACGTTTTTCTTCCTCTTTGTTTTTGCTTCTCCATTTTTGACGTTTCGCTCTCCAGTCACATTTTGTGTGCTGGTTGTATTTTGAGATTGCATTTTTGTTTGAATGAATACAGATTGTTAGTTTCTTCTTCTTCTCCTTCTTCCTTGCATTTTCGTTTTCATTTCTGTTGAATGGAAAGCTAAAACCCTTGGGGTTGGCTCCTTTAGCAGATTGAAACTCTATTTGAGGTTTTATTCGTATATGTATTTGTGTTCTACTTTCTTCTTCTTCATTGAACCTATGGGTTAAAATGTTTTCAACACCTATTCATGCTTAATGAATCAGGTTGTTGAACCAAAGTCACAGGTTGCTTAATCTTGTGCGGAGGTTTGATGTTGTATACGTTTGCTTAATTCGTGTAGGCAAATCTTGAGTTAATCTTCGCTTAGTTGGTTAACTCGGATGGAACAAGGATTAAGTTATGAACAGAGAAATCTTTTGAGAACCAAGGATAAGAGAGTTACAATCTCAATAAGGAGCCAATCCATTTTGCTTGTTGTGCTACTTTGCATTTTATTGTGTTTTAACCTTGATTCTGAACCAAACCACCCCCCCTTTGTGTTTGATCCTTTGACAAAAAAGAGTAGTCCTTGGGAGACGACCTAGGACAGCTTTCTAGTACTGCATTTAATTGTTTTATTTGACCAGATACGGCTTCGATCACCTTGCTAATGTTAGAAAAGAATGGCACAATCCAAGAGGGGGGGCGTGAATTGGATTCTATGACCCTTTAAAAAATTTCAGAGTATTTAGGATCTTTATTTCATTTAAACTTTTCTAAGACTGAATTTTCAATGAAGTTTCTTCAAAGACTTGTTTATAGAAGAATGAATGCTATATGCTTTCTTGATTACAAAATAATGAGGTTCAAATGTAATGCTTTTGTTTCAGATTAAACCATCAATATTCACACACACATGTTAATCTAGAATTATCTTCTTTAATGTTCAACCAAGATATTACTCAAAATAAAAGATAAAGGTAGAAGAAGATTGCACAAGTCTTTTATACTGGTTCAGCCACTCCACATGTGACCTACATCCAGTCCTCAATCAACACCTGATCAAGATTTGTTCCACTATCTCAATGAAGAAGGTTTACAAGCATACCACACATGCATATACTTCAACACTAAAGATAACCACTTTCTTGACCCCAAGAAAGTACCCCTTGTAGAAACCCACTACAAGAAACCTTACCACTTGAGAAATCCTTCTCAAGATTTTACAAGTATTCACAAAGAATAAAGGAACGAATTCACCTGGAATTCAGAAGCAAATCTTAATCTTCCCCTTTCAAGAATGTGATGATGATGATGATCCTCTTTCAAAGTTTTTCACAAACGTTTTTCTTCTTGGATTCACAAAGAAAACTCTCCAAGATGGTCACAAAGACTCCACAAAAACGCTTTTCTAAATTTGATTCTCAATTCTAACTCTGTTATGAAGTTTCTAAAAGTTCAAACTATTTATAAAAGTTTCAGAACCAGATAATCGATTATTTTAAAGAATAATCGATTATTTTGTTCTTCAGGTTTTCTGGAAACCAACCAAGAACAATATAATCGATTATTTTTCTGGATAATCGATTATTCCAGAGAGTTATTTCTGGGATAATCGATTATTTTGCAAATAATCGATTACTGCAGCAAGGCATCCCATTCTGCCTGTTGCTGGAATAATCGATTATATTTAATGATAATCGATTATTTTGAGTTAGTTCTCAAAACTTCGTTTTAAGTCTCAAAATAACTTTTTAGTCCCTTTAACTCATCATCATACACTCTCTAATTAGTTTAGATATATATTTTGCTTATGCACACAACACACACAACAAATAAACTCATTCAAAACAATTTATATACTAATCCCTATTACATAGCACTTTCTTTGACTTTGTTTTTGTCTTCTAAGTTTGTTGTTGCTTGTTGTTGTCTTTGACACATATTTTGTGATCATCAAAACTCCTTTAAGCTTCAGAGATAATCTTGACCTCATCAAGTTCAGGCTCCCCTAAGCTCAGCAATCTCTCCCTTTTTGATGATGAAAAACCAATCTAGCTTCAACCATTTGTGCTTCTAATTTCAACATACAAAACCTGCAAAAACATACACACACAAGCACAGTACCTGCAAAACAACAACACATGTACACACAACAATGTACAAACAACAACCTTTCTCCCCCTTTGGCATTATCAAAAACAAACCAAGCTATGTTTCACAATATAAGCCTTATGAACATTTCTTAACACATCATAGGTTTTAGACTCAATCTTTGTGAATAACACCATCTAAGCCAGAGTTATTTGATCAATCAAAAATTACAAGATACAAAACACAACTCATAATTTTTACAACCCAAAACATCAACAATATATCAACAATCATTCATGCTCAAAACAGAGCATTATAATCAGCAATCAACCATGGATTAATTGGCTCACAAACACACAAGATACCAAATAAAAAAAAATAGAACATCAACAAATATGCTCAAAACCAGAGCATCAACGCACCAGCCAACCAAATCAGAATTTGGTGCCTCATTCAAGCCATCATATCAGCAAGATAAACTTCAAATTTCACCAGAATTTCAATTGTTCAACAACACAAAGCATTAAAATTGTTCCAGAATTAAAAGAAATATTACAACCATATTGAAATGATAGTTCAAAACAGAATTTAAAAGTCCTAATTAAACTAATCAACAAAACAGAAATCAATCTTCATCTTCAGGTATGCCTAGGTGAGTCTTGAGTAGCTTCACCTCATGATCAAGATCATCAAACCTATCAAGAATACCAGAAAATAAAGACTCATGCCTTCGAGACATTTCCATCACCGCATCAATCTTATTTATTATGATTTGCTCAAAAGGTGAAAATGGTTTTGGCTCAGCTTCTGGCTCCCTGTCAAGTTCAGCTTCAGAAATATCAAAGGTCGCCCAGATAATCGATTATTTATGCAAATAATCGATTATTTGCATCAGCAAAATCCCTTTGAAAACATAATCTGACATGAATAATCGATTATTTTTGAAATAATCAATTATTCCAGAGGGTTGTTTCTCCACACTTTGCCTAGATAATCGATTATTTTCAGGATAATCGATTATTCCAGTGGCTTTTCAGATTCCTCTTCTCAGATAATCGATTATTTCCCTAGATAATCGATTATAACAATGACTCTTTAGATTCTTCTTACCATATAATCGATTATTCTAGTGGCTCTTTGAATTCTTGATCTCCCAGATAATCGATTATTACCCAAATAATCGATTATTTCCATGGGTTTACTTAGAATAATCGATTATATTTTAAGATAATCGATTATTCCAGAGAAGTTTTGCTTCTCAGAAATTTTAACCTTTCAAATTACACCAAGTCTAATTGCTCCTTGAATACTCTCTTTTATGCTTCTATATCTCATACTCATTCCACACAATCATCCAATCACTCTCAATTTAAGCATGATTCATTGTTTATCCCTAACTCAATTCTCAATTGGTTAAATCTTTCCCTTCAATACTTGGAAAACTAGAAGTGGTGATAATACTTGTACTTAATTGAAAATCTAGTGGAACCCTTCAATTGAAGGAGACTGGACGTAGCTCACTCTAAGCGAACTAGTATAAAAACCTTTGCACTATTTATCTATGTTTTAGATGCAATTTCGTTTGGTTGATATAACATACTGATATTTCATCCATTGCTTATTTTTCACTGTAACTCTCTTCAGACGAAAAAGACACTTGTTTAACGTATTATTTTAAGAAATATTTTCCTTGTGCAGACGATAAACTTTCAGACGGAAAATCCTTTGTTGAGCAAATCCTACACAGTTCTTAAGTATTCAAAATAATATTTTTATTGGACAAAAAAGAATCCCTCTGCGAAAATAGTTATAAATCCTCCGTTCATACACACACATATTCAACCCCCCTTTTATGTGTTTTTCCTCTAACTTCAATTGGTGTCAGAGCTTGACCCCTTGGGTTGAACAATTAACATTGCAGGGGTAGAATACGATCCATGGAAGAACGAAGAACAAACGGGAAGTCAAAAAGCAAGAAGGACAAACAACGGGTATAGGTAAAACATCGAGGTATTACCAGCCTCCACATGTGTGAAGAAATCTTCTGCTTTCACAAGCTTGGGATCTTTGCAGAATTTCCCGTTCACAAATACTACAAATTAACAAGACAGAGTTTTAATTAGATTTAAAAGACCAATTATAATCATTCTCATGATGATGTAAATGTGAAAGAAATAAACTAAACTAAGAATTGGCATTGCAAGACTCATGAGGAATCAATGTCTGTGCATACCAGCATTCTTGGTGTCATTTAATGCCACACAAAAATCTTGCAGGGGGCTGGGGTCGTAGGCAAAGGCAACAGAAGATGTCAAAGCCAAGATGGCCACGAGGAAATACACAACTTTCATCTTGCTTCTCAAACTTAATCTTGTAAGATTTTGGGTAAGTAATTGCTTCTGATTGAGAACTGAATTGTTTTGCTGCCTTTATAAGCTTTGCTATTTATAAGGATGAACCGTTGAACTAGTTTCATATATTTATGTTTACCCGCAATTAATTTTTTATTTGGTGATGAACCATTCTTTAGTAATTAACTATACATATATACGTGCTTGATCAAAGTCAAGCAATTTTTTCAACATTAATTACCTCGTCCAACAGAACTTGTACCCACTACGTAGTTTTTTTTTCTATTAATATATTATTTTATAAATGGGAAGCCATTAGCAATCAAATAGCAGTTTAGACTTGGTCCCATTTCTTCAGACTTGAGTTCTCTTTTCCGGACTTGCGTTTTTCTCTATGCATGCATCTTACGGTTTAATGTTTAAACTTGGTCGTCATGGGTAGTTATAGTGAAAATTAAATGGATATTTTATAATTAATGACAAACTAGGTCGCTGAGCAAGTTTATTATATATCCATCAACAGCTTCTAGTTCTAGACGACGTCGTGACTTGCTCAAATTTTGTACTGCATGAGAAACTAACGTTTTATATGGCTAATTAAGGCTTCAAATTAACTGTTAATTAAAATATTTTATCTACATGCATTCAATTGAAAAAATAATTAAAATGGGATTTTATGTGATTATATACCCATGTAGTTCCTTATGAATTTTGTACTCGCAAATTAAAATTGAAGATTTGTTGGAGTTGGTTGTGTCTAACTCTTTAGTCACGCCCGGTGCCTCACCAGAAATCCCCAAGCAATGTCACTTACTGATATCGCGCCCAGTGCGGTCTAACCACGCCCGGCGCATACACCATTGCGCCCGGTGGACTTGCCCAATGGAGCTCTTTGATTTCTACAGCCAGGGTTCTCTTGTTATAGATTCTATAGGCTTTACTATTTGTAGAGTATCCTAGAAAGATTGCCTCATCAGCCTTTGCATCAAATTTTCCAAGTTGCTCTTTCCCATTGTTCAACACATAGCACTTACAGGTCACGCGCCCAGCGTGATACCCAGCAGCAACCCTCAAACTTCGAAAATTTTCTTCAAAACCTGCACCAACTCATCTTTCCAGACGCATGCAATCGGCTCAAAACATCACATTTTCATCAAACAACCCAGTAATCCCAGCTTTTCCCACATGCAACCACAATCAAGAAAAACCCCAAGATTTTCATCAAAACCCCGGAAACCCAGAAAACTCGTTTTCATCAAAATAGCTCATCAATCATCAGAAAATCAGCCACTCAATGAGTTTATGAACTCATTTTCAAACAAAAATCAACCAAAGAACTAGCTTCCCTTACCTGAAGATTGGATCAGGATAGCCAAGAAACAAAATTCCCTTTCCGAAGCTCAACCTGGAACTTTAATCCTTCAAAAGTAAGCTTTCTAGTCCAGAGCCCTTCTCTCTAGAACTTCTCTCTAAAAACCTCATCTCCTCAACTGCTCACAACCTCTATTTATAGACATTCCGGAGTGGCCAGAACGGCCCGTTCTGCACCCCTTCATTATGTGCAAAAATCACATGCAGAACGGCCCGTTCTAAAATCAGAACGGCCCATTCTGGAACTCATCCAGAACGGCCCGTTCTCCATCCAGAACGACCCGTTCTCCAACCAGAATGACCCGTTCTCCCTCTAGAACGACCTGTTCTCCCTCTAGAACGACCCGTTCTCAACCACGATATACAGGTCATTTTAATAGCTTGGATCGGCTCGTTCCAGATTGGGAACGGCCCGTTCTGGGCTACTAAAACACCAACTTGCTACGTCACAGTTAGCATCAAAACTCTAGATTCAAGGGATCCAAAATTCTCTTTTGAGTTAACAAAAACAATACATCTATGCATGTTCCCCTAAGTCATTGTTGAGGAAGAAATTTTTTTTACATCTAATTGATGCAACGACAAATCTAAGGTGACAAAAGATGTAAGAGAATTCTAATATTGTTCAACTTTACCAATTGGGCCTTGTATCTTTCCATTGAACCTCAATATTATACTTCATGGTGAAAACCCATTTATATCCCACAATATTCTTCCAACACTACAAGAAAAATGCTAATTTCCGACGAAAATTTCCGGCGAAAAAGGGTAAATTTCTGATGGATTTTGTTTTTTTTGACAGATTTAAATCCGTCGGAAAAAGTGGCGTCGGAAAAAAAATCCGTCGGAAATAATTTAATCCGTCAGAAATTTCCGACGGAAAATTTTAATAAATTTATTAATGTAACAGTCCTCATATTTGGCCTCTCAAGGGTTCTACTTCATGACATTTCACTTTTAGCGTGTCTTATCCTTACTTGCGCAATTTCTGGGAAACTTCCCAAAAGGTCACCCATCCCAATACTACCACAGGTCAAACACGCTTAACTGTGAAGTTCTGATGAGAGTAAGCTACTGAAATGTATATGTATGTTGTCAGTATAACTTGTACAAATTAATTCATTTAAGTCATCCTCAACTATACAATCTCATACTTGTACTATAATGATAATATAATTTATAAAATTATAAATATTTATTTTTTACATACTTATAAATTAAATTTTAACCTACTATCAATGTACCAAGTTTGGTCTTTGGAATCCTTCAAGACAAAGAATGAATTGATTTTGGTACCCAAGTTTTCTTTGGGTCCTTAATGTTAGTAATAACAAAATAACCTTTAGGAATCTAAACCATATTCTTGAGATTGTTAAAATTCTTTCTAATATAGCAAGTTGAGGAATTATGACCTTTCTTTCCACAATAAAAGCATGTTGTTAATGGAGAACTAGTAACTTGTGTAGGAACAAAGAAATTTTTGTATTTCTTTTGTTGTTTTTGTGGATTGTATCCTAATCCTCTCTCAAGGAGTCTCCACGCCCGACGAGACAAGGTCACGCCCGGTGCCTCACCAGAAATCCCCAAGCAATGTCACTTACTGATATCGCGCCCAGTGCGGTCTAACCACGCCCGGCGCATACACCATTGCGCCCGGTGGACTTGCCCAATGGAGCTCTTTGATGGTCACGCGCCCAGCGTGATACCCAGCAGCAACCCTCAAACTTCGAAAATTTTCTTCAAAACCTGCACCAACTCATCTTTCCAGACGCATGCAATCGGCTCAAAACATCACATTTTCATCAAACAACCCAGTAATCCCAGCTTTTCCCACATGCAACCACAATCAAGAAAAACCCCAAGATTTTCATCAAAACCCCGGAAACCCAGAAAACTCGTTTTCATCAAAATAGCTCATCAATCATCAGAAAATCAGCCACTCAATGAGTTTATGAACTCATTTTCAAACAAAAATCAACCAAAGAACTAGCTTCCCTTACCTGAAGATTGGATCAGGATAGCCAAGAAACAAAATTCCCTTTCCGAAGCTCAACCTGGAACTTTAATCCTTCAAAAGTAAGCTTTCTAGTCCAACCTCTTCATGAATTTGTATAAAATCTTCTTGGAGTTGATCATAGTCCGGATTTGATTCAAGGTCAGAATCACTTACAATTGTGTCTTGGTCAGCTCCAGCCCTCAAACACAAGTTATTCTCCCCACATTCGGATTCATCACTTGTTGTGCTTGAGCCATTATCTTCCCATGCAATGTAGGCTCTCTTCCCTTTTCCATTTCGCTTGCTTTTCTTCTCCTCCTGTTGCTTCTTCAAGAGGTTTGGGCACTCAGCTTTATGTGTCCCGGTTTTCCACATTCAAAGCAATTAAAGGAGGATTGTCAAAAGGAAGGGTCACTCCTAGATCACGGAACAAGTAATCATACACAAAAAAGAAGTTATATTTACATTGCCCTCGACCAAGAAAAACAAAATCCGATTCCCACGACCCTTCGTTCCGGCATGCTTCAAAAAAGAAACCGGATGGCACCTCCCTTTCACCTTTCCGAAGCTCAACCTGGAACTTTAATCCTTCAAAAGTAAGCTTTCTAGTCCAGAGCCCTTCTCTCTAGAACTTCTCTCTAAAAACCTCATCTCCTCAACTGCTCACAACCTCTATTTATAGACATTCCGGAGTGGCCAGAACGGCCCGTTCTGCACCCCTTCATTATGTGCAAAAATCACATGCAGAACGGCCCGTTCTAAAATCAGAACGGCCCATTCTGGAACTCATCCAGAACGGCCCGTTCTCCATCCAGAACGACCCGTTCTCCAACCAGAATGACCCGTTCTCCCTCTAGAACGACCTGTTCTCCCTCTAGAACGACCCGTTCTCAACCACGATATACAGGTCATTTTAATAGCTTGGATCGGCTCGTTCCAGATTGGGAACGGCCCGTTCTGGGCTACTAAAACACCAACTTGCTACGTCACAGTTAGCATCAAAACTCTAGATTCAAGGGATCCAAAATTCTCTTTTGAGTTAACAAAAACAATACATCTATGCATGTTCCCCTAAGTCATTGTTGAGGAAGAAATTTTTTTTACATCTAATTGATGCAACGACAAATCTAAGGTGACAAAAGATGTAAGAGAATTCTAATATTGTTCAACTTTACCAATTGGGCCTTGTATCTTTCCATTGAACCTCAATATTATACTTCATGGTGAAAACCCATTTATATCCCACAATATTCTTCCAACACTACAAGAAAAATGCTAATTTCCGACGAAAATTTCCGGCGAAAAAGGGTAAATTTCTGATGGATTTTGTTTTTTTTGACAGATTTAAATCCGTCGGAAAAAGTGGCGTCGGAAAAAAAATCCGTCGGAAATAATTTAATCCGTCAGAAATTTCCGACGGAAAATTTTAATAAATTTATTAATGTAACAGTCCTCATATTTGGCCTCTCAAGGGTTCTACTTCATGACATTTCACTTTTAGCGTGTCTTATCCTTACTTGCGCAATTTCTGGGAAACTTCCCAAAAGGTCACCCATCCCAATACTACCACAGGTCAAACACGCTTAACTGTGAAGTTCTGATGAGAGTAAGCTACTGAAATGTATATGTATGTTGTCAGTATAACTTGTACAAATTAATTCATTTAAGTCATCCTCAACTATACAATCTCATACTTGTACTATAATGATAAT